CGTTTTCTCCATTAACTGTTGCTAGACTCCGCTTCAAGAGTTCTGGGTTCTGGTGATGGCCTCTGCCTCTAGGTGAGTGACCTAGGACAAGCTTTGTCTCTAAGGATCTCAGTTTTCTTATCTATGAAATGATGGAATTAGATGAATACTAATCTCGAGGGTCCCTTCTGATTTATGTGCTCTGTCATTCTGGGTTAAATGGAAACCGAGTCAGACTATGTAATTTACAGGAAATTAAGAGGTTGAAGAAGGCTTGGTGGCTAATCTCTCCCTGGATGTAGTCTGCTTTCTCGTCTCTCTAGCTAGTCATTCTTTTGTGTTAGTAAGCTGAATGATTACCTTTATTCCTTCCCAAGGTTTGGAGGTCTAGAGGACCTGTCTGTCTCTACCTACTCCCTACTCTCCCAATTGCTGGGGCAGAGCAAAGGCAAGCCTCTCGCTTCACACCTCATCTTTCATGAGGCAGGGTCACTCACGCATTCCACATTTATAAGAACCACTATGTGCCAAGGCACTAGGACTGACAATCCGAAGATTAATCAGATAGTCTCTGTCTCAAGAAGCTCCCTGGCCTTTGGAGAGCTGAACATCTCTCATGTCTCCCATAAACTTTTTATTCTTGCTATTAGGAAATAAGAAACTGGCAGCTTTGTCTCTGTTGACCCATCTTCCTGGGGGGAGAGAAGGAGACCACATTATTTTCCTGCTCCTATGTTTCTGGTAACATCTTTGGTTGTTTTTGTTTTAAATACATCTCTAATGAGTTTTCTTTGAGGGAGGGAGCCCAGGTCCCAAATAAAGCAATTTGACATGAGAGCTATGACAAATTCTTCTGGCACCAAGACAGGATATAAGTGAATAAATAATTTTATGTAGGAAATAAAGTAAGGGATAAGGGAAAGAAAGATGTTTCTATTTGATTATTCCTGGGGCAAGAAGAATATCTTACTCTAATCCTCAGCCTGAATTTCTTTGGCTGCTGTGGTTCCAGGGGAGGGAGGGTGTGAATGAATGTAGAGACAATGTTATTTGCTAAGGGGGAAAAAAAGAGAAGCCTGTCACACAGCGCATTTTCTTAATCCTGTTACTGTTAACAGTGTTCATCTTCCTAACTGGTAGGGAGCAGAGAGACAACTCATAGTGAACACAGTCCTGGAAAGTGTGAACAAAAAACTCCACAACTCAGCACCAGTTGGGTTCTAGAGCACCTGTCTCTATTCTGGATTGTTCTCAGTGTCTTTTCTGAGTAGAATTAGACAAGATGCAAGCAACTTGTAGAGAGGCCCACAGCAGAATCAGGAGCAAGCTTGACGAGATGGTTTCTTTCATTCTCTCACTTAGCAAGCCCTCACTGAGCACCTATTTTGCGCTGGACAATCTGCTCCATGACCCGTTTTCTCTCTCATGCCCCATCCACTGGGGAAGCAACAACCAACCATAGGTTGAATTATGATTTGAAAATCAACTCTCTCCTCATGTAAACAAACAAACACATAAATAAAACGTGTGGTGGACCATCTTTTGGAGAAAGAATGTCAAACCTCAGCCAAGCTTAGCGGGTAGATTTCCCCGGACATTTCCTGGCTCTGTGTATTTCTCAACTCTGCTAGTCAGTGAAGTGAAGGGCATTTTAAAGCAATGAATCTCCACAGGTAGAATGACCTCTGAGAGGGCATTGATCATTGGTTGGGGAAGAGGTGTCTCTGTTCCACACCAACTTCAGCTCTGTTTGCTAATAGAAAAGTTTTTTCTTTCTCCCTTGCTGTTTTAATTTAGAAGAATGGATAAGGGAGCTGGAGAAAATGGCACCATTTTTAGGAACGCTAGTGAATGGAGAGCTAGGAGTCAGACCCACATAATCTGATGCTGGAAGGGTGCCTTGCACCCCTGACTCTCTCTCTCATACCATTTAGTTGACCTGACTCTACTTTCCTTTTTAAGTGGATGGGAAGGGGCATTAGTAGGGAGAGTGAGCTATAAGACAGTTTTCAGAGGCAGTAGATTCCCGTAACACAAGACCAGCTTTCCAGGCATCCCCTCACAGGCTATTTCACTCCATGCTGGTTTAGGGTCCCTTGTATATTTTTCCAGAATGTTCTGTGTTTTAGTCCAAGCCAATGCATTTAGCACCTTTTATGTGTCTGCTCTCCCTGTAGCCTCCTTGAGAAAGAGATCAGGTCCTTAATCTCCAACACATAATGGGTGCTCAGTATGTGATGAATGGAGTGATGATTGATGGATGGACAGAGAGACCCTAGATTCCATGGTCCTTCTCGTGATCTTATTTCTTACCTCCTGGGCCAAAGTAAAAATGTTCTGTGATAAAAGATGCCTTCGTTGTGTTTTTGACTTTGATTTTGGTGGAGAGCCCCACACTCACAAGAAGCTAAAGAGGAAGTTAGGGGCTATCTTTAGACCTGGTCAGAAGGGCTTCAGAATCTCTGGGGATGTGGCTCCACTCCCTCCCCAAGACAACTGCTTATAAACTCATCAGAGACCGTGTCTCTGTTAAAATGCATTTCTGAGATAGGTGGCATTTGCCCCTTAGCAATCATTTCCCCTCCTGGATTTTTCCCTTCAGGAAAAATCTCTGAAAGTTAAGGTTGAACAGGGTATAATCATTTACAGGCAATTGGAGCCCAGAGAGGTCTAGTCTCTTGCCCAAGGTTACACAGCTAGTTGGGACAGAGGCTGAACCCCCACATCCTGGCTACCAGAAGTTAGCCTTCTTGTGCCTCCTGGGGCTTCTTGGGAAATCTGCAGACTTTCCTCCTTTATTCACCTAACATTTATGTAGCACCTAGTGTGATTCAGGCTGCACCTACTGTGATTCAAGCTGCAGCGCATTGATAGGAAGATGGAAAGTAACAGTCTGTCTTGCGGAGACTTTCTTCTATGAGCTGCACCCAGGAGAGTCCCAAGTTTCTACACCTTAGATCCGAGGGCCCTGTGGCCTGCAACACCTTTGAATGAGCAGAAGCCTGCACGCACTTCGGCTTTAGGCTCCCCTTGGACCTGGTGGGCGGCAAGCGCCCCAGCCCCTCCCGCCTACTCTGGATCTTGTAGCTGCTGTTGCCACTGAACCAATCATGCCAGAAAGTCATCATGATGATTTCAGAACTGCATTGTGATTTATGCAAAGCGCGCCGATAATTACAGCCGGGCGCACAGAACACAGGACGAACATGCTGCGGGTGTGTGCGCGCGTGTTGTGCCTTTTGCCAGGACTGGATGATGATGGTGGTGGTGGTGGTGGTGGTGGTGTGTGTGTGTGTGTGTGTGTGCGCGCGCGCGCGCGCGCGCCCACGTTTCTATTCACTGGACTCCTGGATACCCTGCTTGATTAGGGACTGGTGACAGGAAAAAGAGGGAGACATTCCCATTTTGATTTTGAGACAATTTGATGAGCCTCGGGAGTATTTTCCAGAAGTTTTTATGCCTACAAATGAGCCAGCAGGGCAAGAATGTCGGGGAATAGAGGAAGAGGTAGTTTGGACCCTTCGAGAGCCATAGTCCTACCTCCAAGCGACCCCTCCCAAAAAGCAGTTTCTAGGTCGCCTTCTTGCCACAGAATCCTAAGGCTTTGCCCCAGGGACAGGCCCAGGTCTAGTCTTTGACATTGGACTTCATCTTCGCCTGAGATGCAGTACTGTACTTGGATCTTGTTCTTTGTCCTTAACGAAGCGCCCCACTCTGCGTCCACATGATAGTGACGGTGGTGGCGGCGGCTGCAGAGGCAGCGGCGGCGGGACAAGTGGGTCCCTGGCGGGAGCCAGAACCCCAGGCTCCAAAACCGAGCATCGGACAATAACTGTGTTTCTCAAACGACGCCTGGAAATCACTTCCCTTTCTGGGCGCGGAGTTAAAGTTTGTACCATTTCGCGTGCGTGGCCAGTACGCTGCCCAATTTGGCTGTCAAAAATTTTAATTTCTTTTCCATTCTCCTCAAAAATACCCTCAGGTTTATGGTTTAGTCCCACGATTCCCTAATCTCGTCCCAATAAAAAAAAAAAAAAAAAAAAAAAGCCAAGGAGGGTTAATTTGGGAAATAGTCGTCCCCTGTCTTGCTTTTTCCGGGTGTCCCCAGCTCCCGAGCCCCGGAGGCTGTACGACCCTGGCAAGGACGCAGACTCTCGTGCGTGTGGGGTGCGCAGGCCGGGGGTCCAGGCCCCGCAAAGGCTGCTGCGGAAAGTTGCAGTCACGTGCTGCGGCTTCCTGCAGGAGCGCACAGCCTGTGCCCGGGAGACGCCGGGCGGAGGAGCTGCTGCGCCCTCCGAGGGCTCGGGGGACGCAAGCATTCACACACACAAACTCTGATCGAAAGCCCGGGTTGACCCTGAGTCTGAAGAAAGTGCAGTTGGGGGAAGGCAGGCAGAATTTCGGAGAGCGGGTCTCAGTTCTCCTCCCCCACCCCACCCCCCACCAGCAAAAGCGCCGCGGAGGGCGGGAGAGCAGGAGGTGTGACCCCTGACCCCTAGCCGGCCCACGCCCGCAGGACCGGCGGGCAAGCTCTTGTTCGACAAGTTCAAGCTGCTGGGAGAGCTTAAATAAGAATTAATCTCTTGGAGATTGGGGATCACCTCTCCCTAGGCGTGCGCTCTCCCAGAGCGGCGCAGGGACCAGGGCGTGAGAGAGCACTGCAGTCGGGGGGGGGGGGGGGGGAGGCAGGCGGGAGGACTGGGGGTGTAAGGCGGAAGAAGCTCCCCAGAATCCCTGGAAGCTACTCGGCAAGGGGGGGGCCAGCGAAGCCTGCTAGGGTAAGTTCTGTCCTGCAGCCGCTCCAGTGCAGATAATGGAGGCGACAGGAGCCTCGCTGTGCTCCGGATCGGCTTTGCTTTGGGAAGCGGGCGCACCCTCCCCAAGGCTGGTGCCCAAGCGGACCCCGCGAAGGCCGCAGGAACGCCGAGCCTTTAGCAGACTCCATCCCAGGCCCCAAGTCCGCACACAGCGTCCTCAGCTACAACTTTCTGTAGATAGTTGCAAAATGAATAATTACTCACCTCGGACCAGATCCAAGTTTTACCCAACAGAAAGGGCACGGGACCAAGAATGAACCAACTCACATGGCCATATCCGGTGCGCACAATCACACAAACACACAGCCACCCAGTTTCTTCCACGAATCTGTCTGGCGCTCTGGAGAGAAGGGGGAAAGCGTTTTGAGAATGCTCCATTTCCCCTCCCCTTCCCCTTGCCATGAAATATAATAATTCATTTTTATTACAAGAGCAGCACCGTCCTCACCATCACGCACGCACAGAGCCACACTCCCATATTCACACTCTAACTCGGCAGCTCCGACAGCGCCTGCATTTTCTTTGGGAGCCGCTTGGAGGTTCATTAATATCATTAGCATTTAACCCCCTCCCTCTTCCCATCCCCTCCCCGCACATGGCTGACGTCAGACCCCGCCAGGAGTTGGGGGAAAAGCTAAGTGGGCCAGGGACGCCCTATTCCCCTCCCCGCGGCTGCCTGTCAGAGCGCTTCTGGAGATATTACAGGGGACCCAGCCCGCAGCGACAAGCACAAAGTCACGGGGTAATGAACTTCGGGGACCCTTTGCCGCTCAGTGCGCGGCTCTCCCCGGAAACTGGGACCCGGCTGCCTGTTCCCTCGGAAGACTTCCCAGCAATCTAGTTTCCCACTCCGCTCTCTGGTTTGGGCAGCGCCGAGCCCATCTGCCTGAGACTGCGGTTGTGTTTTCCTTCTTTCCTTAAAAGAGCAGCGGTCTGTAGAGATCTGGCCACACTCTGCATGCCTAATGTAGAAGGAGAAATTGAAGACTGAGAGACAGGGATGGGGAAAGAGTGGGATCTTGTCCTTTTTGCTCCGTAGGAAGACCATTTTCGTGTCTCCGTCTCTGCCCTTCACTATTCCTCTCTCGCTGTCCTCCTCCCTTCTTCCTCGATCTGCCCGTCCGTCTCTCCGTTTGTCTGTCCATGCGTGTGTCCATACCAAGCAACATTCCCAGCAGCTGCGGTTTTGCAAGAGCCGGGAAGAAACTTGAGGATGCTTAAATTCCCACTGTGGAACGAATTCTGAGCGCCCAGGGAGCAGCGCAGCGCGCAACCGACACCCACCTGTCCGGCCCGAGAGCCTGCAGGCTGGAGGGCGGCTGGAGAGCTGCGGCGCCCGGCGGCGAGGCGGGCGCTGCCGGCCGGGACTCGGGCAGCGCCCACCAACCGCTCCGCCCCGGGACAGCCAGCATGAGCAAGCCGGCCGGATCAACAAGTGGGTACCTTTCGGGCCGCCGCGGGGCTCAGGCGCGCAGCCTGGGGTGGGCGGGAGAGGAGTCCGGGGATATCCTGCCCGGAACGCTGCGGCTCCGAGCCCGGGAAAGGGACTCCGGCGGCGTGTGCGCTTTGGCCCAGCTGCTTGTAGCCAGACCAACCAGATTAATCCTGGAGCCGGGTAGGTCTCGTTACCTCTGGATTGCTTGATTTTTCACCCCCCCCCCCCCCCCCCGGTTTGGTGGGAAGGTTGAGACCCATGCAGCCCGCCAGTCCCGCGAGTCGCATCCGCTTAGAGACCAGGTGCGGGGAAAGGGGAGGGGGGGAGTGTCGACGGGGGGCGGGAACTAGGCCGCAGCTCCAGGCTGCAGCACAATAACACGCTCGCTCAAAACTCCGAGCTCCAGCGCGCAAAAGCAACTCTGCGCAAAGCGGATTTGAAAGGAATGCTTTGCACCCCGTTTCTAGTTATTTCAAATAATCCTGCAAACTGGGAAGCAGAAACAATTTAAAAGTCACATTTTCCTTAATCCTAAATCCGCGTAGGTCATAACTGGGGAATTTAAAGTATGGCGAACCGCTCTAGCAAAGAGGGGACCAAATCCCTAATCCCAAGGATTTTTCGAGCGGGAGCTCGGCAGAGGCAGGAGTGTGCGGCCTGTTCCCTTCGCGCGCTTCTCTCCTCCCTCAAACTTGCCTAGCTGGTAGCTCCCCGTCAGAATGTCGAGCCGTGGCTGATCTCTAACCAACCCCAGACGCCAGAGTGGGGGGCTCCGTGTCTGTGTGTGTGAGGGCATCTGCTCTCCCGGTGCCTGCGGAACCCGAGAATGTGGAGGCCCGAGCCGGCGCTGGGCGGGCGTTGTCGCAAGGCTCGGATCTCCCGGGGGGCATTTCAGTTCCCGCCTTCCGGTGGCCCAGGGCTGCCTTTTCCGGGGCCCAAGACTGGAGGTAGCCCCCCGCCGCAGTCGCTACGTCCCGGAGATCTCCCGCCGCCCTTGTTGTCTTTGCCTATAGCATTTTTGCGGCTCCTTGCTTTCCTCAAACACCCCCTCCCCTCACGCCCTCATTGTCTTGAGTCTTTGAAAGTTGGGAGAATCCAAGATACTTCTGAGAACTGATGATGAAGTCCCACTTAAGTGGCAAGCAATTCACTTTATCTGTTCGCTTTGGTTTGGGTGTTACCGTTTTAAAAATGCAAGTGAAGTGAACGTGAACAATAAAGAGAAACGGAGAGATGTTTAGAACCAGGGCAGAGGGAAGAGAGCAGGAAACTTTGCCGCCGCACAAATCAGAGCCGACCCTTGCGGAGGCCTGGCGTTTCCAGTTAGCCTCCGGCCTACGCTGGCCCTTGCTGCTCCAATTTCTGGGAAGCGAGGCGGCCTGGCTTTTTGTGGCCCAGGTTCTGGAGTGTGAGGTCCTCCCCTGGAGGGGCAGAAGGCAACCTTTTCTGCAGCATTCCGAGCCTCTAATGCAAAAACAGAAGCCAGCGGGCTTCGGCAGGCCTCCTGGCTACTTCGCCCTGAGACAGGCCCTCGCCTTCTTCCCTAGAAGTAAGGAGCCTCGGACTCGTTCGCCCACTTGGGGTGAGGAGTCGGCGGGGTTGATGCGTGTTGGGGTGGCGGGGGGCGCCTGAAAAGCGAGGCCTCGGAACAGGGGGAAGGGGCAGGCGCCAAGCTCGGTTCGCTGGGGGCCCGCACCCGCGGACTGGCACCTAGGTGAACCGCCCGGACTCAGAAAGAACGGCTGAGTGACACGCTGGGGAAACTTGGGAGCTTTCCAACTTCCCAAGGGCCCGAGTTCGGCCTCGGAAGCCTGAGACCCGGCGCGGGTTCGGCCGCAGCTGTTATAGTTTCTCAGGCCCGCAGGAAGGCGGCCCCCGCCCGCGGCGCCGCTGCATCCCGGCCTTCTCCAGACAGGTGGCGGCAGCCGGGCCCGAGACCTGCGGCCCTCGGGCCCCGGGCGGCAAGGAGGTCGGCGCGCAGCGGGCGAGGTCAGGACCGAGCCGGGCCGCGAGGTCTGCGGCCCCCGCCTCGCTCGGTTTCGCACAGCTGGAGGGCAGAGCGATGTCACCCGGGAGCCCCGCCTGGGTGGTAACAAGACCCCGGCCAGTCACCCCTGCAGCCCAGACTAACTTCTTTCAACAGCCTCTGATGGTAATTACAGTAATCGAAGCTGCCATATATCTTTAGGCAATTATGACACACAAAAAGCCCTGAGGGGACCCCCTGGCGAGGGAAGTTAAGAACGGTTTTCCAGCCTCAGGAAACTCCCGCCTGCCTCACGTCGGAGCTCGCTCGGTTTGCTAAATGAGAGGAGCTTTGCAACGGGGTCAACCAGCTTGTCTCGTGACCCCAAGTCACCTTTACGTGGCTGGGTGGCGGAGTCTGAGGCGCAGACCCGCTATGCCCCGGAATTTTCGCGTCCCTCCCTCCTGTGCCCCGCCCCGGGCGAGTACGCCTGCCTCTAATCTGCCCCAGGAGCCGTGACTCGGAGGTCTGCTCCGTGGCAGGGCCGACCCGCAGCTGTGGAGGCCCCGAGGGGCCGACTGACGAGGAGCCCCGCACCCCGCCCCAGCTGGAGGAGAGTCACCCACCCTGCACTGGTCCTCCCTGCGTCCCATGGGTTTCTCCAGAGATGTGCGTCCCTGTCCTCTGTCTGGATGGGAAGCGGGGGGAAAAGAAAGCCCACCACTGCTCCTCCTGCGCGCTCATCTTGGCATCATCAAAACTGCTACCGGGAAGAAGACAGCTGGGGCGACAAGATTGCTGAACCCCAAACATGGACCCCCGCTCAGCCAGAGGGCGTGTGTCATGCTGGGAACGATGGTTGCAAAATATGGAAACCAAGTTGACTGTTTCTAGCGTGAGTGCGACGCAGCAGAGCTCGCGTCCCCGGTTGCTGGGCGGCTGTGAGTTCCTTTGGGCGCACTGACAGGCCCAAGGGGGTGAGGGACAAGACCCGCTGTGGCGTCGCCTGGAGCTCTCCAGCCCCTTCCTCCCCCCAGCACAACTTCTCCTCCCACCGTACTGGAAAGGGGGCGTCGAGGCGGTGGTCGCCTCGCCGCGCGCCTCCCCCACCGGCCTTTGTCGCCGTCTGAATTCCCATGCTACTCTTTTTGACGGGTCACTGGTGGCTGTATAGGCAGGTGCTATGGCGGGGTTGTAATTACCCAGGCCGAGCTTGGTCGTTCCCGAACCCCCACCCCCACCCTGGCCGCCGGCGCTTTCCCTAAGTCCCTCCTTCCCGGCCCCCAGCAGCTCCTCCTAGGCCTTGGTCAGGGGTTCGCGCCTACCAGGACGCCTCAAAATCCACGAGCAAGTTTCCACTTCTGAGACCTCAGCGGCCCTTCCCGACGTGGGGCCCACGCCTTCTCTATTCCCCTGGCGGGGTTGTTCTGACTCGCTTCTCTGCACCCCAGCCTGATAGCGTTCCCGAACCTGAGCGCCCCAGGGAGCAACTGTCGAGTTTCATCGAGGCGGAGGCATCTCGGCCCCAGACTGGAGGCTTTTGGTCGAGTAGCGACTTGAAAATTTAATGTAAAGAAGTTAATTATTACTATCATTGTTGTTACTACCAAAATGTTAACACTTTAATACTTTGTGGGAGGAAAGATTTCTAAGTCCCTATAAATCTCTTCAGGCTTGTTGGACTCTTGAACCTTAGAGAAAATAGTTCCTTCTCTTCTGAATTTTGGGATACAACCCTCTCTCCCTAACATTCCTCCAACGTCCATGGCCACCCCAGGCTTGAGGAGATTCCAGGGAAAGTTCTCTTAAACCAGGCGACTGTCGAGGCCAATAAGGGTGGAGGACAGTCTAGAGAAACCAGCTACAGGCAGGAAGGGACCCAACCGAGATCTAGTGTGAGGAGACAGGTCTTTGAGGAAGAAGAACTTGGGGAGTGGAGGGAGAAGGGGGTGGCTGTCCCGCGCTAACCTGCTAAGGGATCGCACACGCGTCACTCTCTCTCGTTTGCCCAGCCCGGTCCTAGTTCCTTTGGGGGGAAAATGTTCTTTTCTTAAAAGAAATAATTTCTCAAAAGCGATCCACTAAGCATTTTTTAAAATAGGTAAAGCGAAAGTTGGGCAA